ATCAAACCCAATTGCAGACCACAGCTGCCAAGGCCGCACTTGCTTCCTCTGGCTTGAGTCCTGAAAAAGTTGATACTGTGGTTATTGGACACATTATGACAGTAAGTTTGTTTTCTTATTTTGAAAATAGATACTTTGAATTTATATGTATGTATGTATATAAATTATAGACATCTCAAATCTAATTGATTTCAAATCCGTTAATTATACCCACCATCAAAAAAGATGGGGGGTATATTGATTTTGTCATTCCGTTTGTAACACATCGAAATATTGGTCAGAGACCCACAAAAGTATATATATTCTGGGTCCTCATTAAATTCTAAGACGATCTAGCCATGTCTGTCCGTCTGTCCGTCTGTCCGTCCGTCCGTCTGTCTGTCTGTCTGTCTGTTGAAAGCACGATAGAGTCCGAACGGAAAGAGCTAGAGGCTTGAAATTTCACATAAATATTTCTTATAGGTAAGGTTTGTTTGGTATTGAAAATGGGCAATATCGGTCCACGTTTTCGGATAGCCCCCATACAAGTGGCCCCTAGAAAAGCAGCTTTAACAGCCATAACATGTTTAAAAATACGAATATAGCGATGAAATTCGACATAAGTAAGTTTCTTGTGATCCAAAATCACTGTGCAAAATTTTATGAGGATCGGTCCATAATTGACCCTACCCCCCATATAAGGTCCCCTTCAGAAAATGACTTTAACGCTCATTACTGGCTTAAAAATTCTAGTATATAGATGAAATTCGACATAAGTAATTTTCATACGAGTCAAAATCTATCTAAAAAATTTTATGTTGATCGGTCCATGATTGACCCTACCCCCCATATAAGGTCCCCTTCAGAAAATGACTGCAACGCTCATTAATGACTTAAAAATACGAGTGTAGCGATGAAATTCGACACAAATAAATTTTATACGAACCAAATTCTGTCTACCAAATTTTATGAGGATCGACCCATAATTGACCCTACCCCCCCATATAATGTCCCCTTCAGAAAATTACTTTAACGCTTATAACTGGCCTAAAAATACGAATATATAGATGAAATTAGACATAAGTAAGTTTCATTCGAGTCAAACGAGGTTTGATGGTGGGTATATAAGATTCGGCATAGCCGAATATAACACTCTTACTTGTTAATTAATTTAAATTAAACTTCTCTTTAAAAACAGGCTCTATGAATAGTAACCGTTTAAATACTAATTTATACTTTATACTAGGTATAAAGTTTATAGTTATGAGATAAGACACTTTAAATCATTTCCAATTTGCACATCTTATACATACAGTTAATCTCAAAAATAAGTATACAGAAATACTGACAATTGGTTTTATTTAAAAAAGGATATTATTTTTTCAAAAATCAAGAAAGTAACACATTTATTTATTAAAAACAATTATGATAATTATTATTCACTACTTTTTTCCGGGTTATTTTGGTTACTTGAGTTCTCATTTAAGGTGTAGTTAAATAGGTGCAAAATTTACGTCACAAAAGTAAGTATACAGATAATTTCAATATGTATTTGGCTTAATGATATTAACAAAATTCATGAAAATTTTACCTGTTCGAATGTAATTATTTTATAATAAAATATTCTGTACACTATAACATGGAAAAAATTCACTTTTTGTTCCGAAAAATTGAAGTTTTTGGTAATTGATCTGAATATTATTTATAGGAGCATTTTTTCCTATTTAAGAACATCTGACTATATAAACCCCCGGAGTTTTGGATCGGGTATTCAATAATATCCCTCGTTTGTTCATTATGATACATTAGAAGACGATATTTTAACTTTTAAATTAATTGTTTCTTTACAATAATTGCAATCCATTGCGGAACATTGCCGTTTTTAACATAGTATAGCGTTCATATTCGATATTTAACGGCGATTTCCTAAAATATATATCTTAAAATGCGATATTAATAACATTTGTACTAGTATCCATTAATTAAAACAAGTTTTTTGGTTCCAATCATCCATTACACACTCCTAAATACTACCAATAATCGTCAAATGGTGACCATGTCAATAACTTACACTACATATCGGTTCTGAAATTGATTATTGTCCAAAATAGTAAGATTTTTACATTAAATCAGGCTCAATTGGTGGTATGAATACGAATTGAACAATTTTGAACACGGATACATCTTAATTTGTTGCTAGAACAAATAAAATGTCCGATCCATAAAACATGGTTATTGTATCGACTATACCAAGATATTATTGGTAGCATTATTGTATGCTTTGGAAATCGGAGTATTTCGAAAACCTGTTTAAATTAAAGGAAATATATAGAATTATTCAAATTTTAAACTTTATGTTGTAATTCTTAAGAAATCGGAGTTAAATTTCTGTTTTTTAAGAACGTACTGTGTTCAAAATGGCTTAATCCATGCACATAACATTAATTTTGAAATAACAACTCTTTTCAAAAGTTAAAAATTCTATTTCCAATGCATCATTTGGAGGGTTCAATGACCACCAGATCCAAAATCCGGTGTCTAAAGTGTAAAAAAATCGTAGAAATGAGAAAAAACTGTTCTACTAATTAATTCCGGAGCCAATCGGCCCAAATTTCAAGATTTCGGAACTAAAAGTAGATGTTTTCCAAGTTATTGTGTAAAAAAATATTTTATTAAAAAGTAATTATATTAACACAAGTAAAATGTTCATAAATTTTGTTAATATCATTAAACCAAATATATACTGAAATGATCTGTATACTTACTTTTGTGACGTAAATTTTGCACCTTTTTAACTTCAGCTTAAATGAGAACTCAAAGAACCAAAATATGAATAAAAAAAGTAGTAAATAATAATTATCATAATTGTTTTTAATAAATAAATGTGTCACTTTTTTGTTTTTTGAAAAAATAATATCTTTTTTTTTAATAAAACCAATCGTCAGTATTTCTGTATACTTATTTTTGTGATTAACTGTATATGTATATATCATTATATATTTCTGCAAGCTTATAACTTTTATAATTGTAATAATCAAAGCAGAAAATCACTGTATGTTTATAATCCTAAATACATCTCAATACAAACAACCCAAATCTTATCAACCCAAATCTTATCACAAAAAATGTGTTAACAAAAAAAAAAAAAAAAATTCTTACACGGGCCCGGTTTTTTCCATACATGTGTATTTAAGTATCTGAAATTAAATTTGGGTTATCGGTAAGAGCGCTTTTTCTAATATGTTTTTGTTTGTATATAATTTTTGCAAACATTCATTAATGAAATCCCAGCAAACATTTACAATGTATATACTAATTTGCTTTATAACCGCCACCTTTGTAAGAAGGGTATATACATATATGAATGTATGTATGTTTGTCATTCGGTTTGTAATGTATTGTATATCTGTGTATATATGTGTACTGAAATCAGTTTTCACAAGTATCCAGATACATATATACAAGATCTAAATCTTCAATAATTCTATCAAAGATGCTAAAACCAAAGCCCCCATATAAGGTCCTCTTCAGAAAATCAATTAATCAAATACAATTCGTTAAACATTTCTATTATAATTGGCCATAATTGCCCATGTCTTGCATTTAAAGTTCTCTTATGTGAATTTTAGAACACCCTTCACCTTTAGTAAGTTAAATATTTTATTAACATATCATTTATTTTCTTTTTATTAGTCATCGTCTACCGATGGTACCTACTTGCCACGTCACGTCTCCCTTGGCTGCGGTGTACCAATCGAAAAGCCCGCTCTTGGTGTCAACCGTCTCTGTGGTTCCGGTTTCCAATCAATTGTCAACGGTGCCCAAGATATCATTATGGGTAGCGCCAAGGTTTCCCTAACTGGTGGTGTTGAAAATATGTCTCAATGTCCATTCATTGCTCGTAATATGCGTTTTGGCACATCTTTGGGCACAAACTATCAGCTGGAAGATGCCTTGTGGGCTGGTCTTACTGATACCTACTGCAAATTACCCATGGCTTTAACTGCTGAAAATTTGGCTGATCAATATAAAATTTCCCGCGAACGTGTTGATGAATTCTCTTTGCGCTCACAAAAGAACTGGGAGAAGGCTCAAAATGAGGGTGTCTTCAATACAGAAATTACGCCAATTAAATTGAAGGTTAAGGGCAAAGAAGTCGATTTTGTTGTTGATGAACATCCCAGACCAAAGACCACAATCGAAGGTTTAGCTAAATTGCCATCTTTGTTCAAGAAGAATGGTGTAGTGACCGCTGGTACTGCTTCGGTAAGTTAATTTGAAAAATGGAAATTGTCATCAAAATGTTATCAAATATGTAATTGCTTCCTTTAGGGTATCTGTGATGGTGCTTCTTCTGTAGTTATTGCTTCAGAGGACGCTCTTAAAGAATATAACTTGAAACCTTTGGCACGTTTAGTAGCCTACTCTTATGTTGGTTGTCCACCAGAAATTATGGGTATCGGTCCAGTTCCTGCCATACAAAATGTTTTGAAAGTTAGTGGTCTTAAAATGGAAGATATCGATTTGTTTGAAATTAACGAAGCTTTCGCCGCCCAAACTCTTGCCTGTGCCGATGCTTTGGGTTTGGACATGAATAAATTGAATGTCAATGGCGGTGCCATTGCTTTGGGTCATCCTTTGGGTGCCAGTGGTAATCGTATTATGGGTCACTTAACCCATGAGTTGCAGTAAGTATTCTATAAAATGAGTTATAAACTTTTTATGAAAAGCAATAAACATTATTTTTTTTTACTTTTAGACGCAAGAAGCTCAAGTACGCCATCGGTTCAGCTTGTATTGGTGGTGGTCAGGGTATCGCCCTCTTGATTGAATCCTGTTAAAATTTAATTTAAGATTTTGTTGAAATTATTGTGTTTTTAAAATGCATTTACTAAACCTTAAAGTTCTAAACAAAAAACAAAAAAAAAAAAAAACCATTAGTATAAGTTTATTTACATAAATGTCTGTTATTAGTATCTTTTTTATAATAAAATCTTTAAAAATACATAAAATATATAAAAAAATGCACTCTTTTAATAAAATTTGATTGTCAATTATCACAATCTTGCAAAAAATCCTCATAGTTATCAGTTGCACATAATTTTTCTTCATTCTCATCAATTTCCTTTAAACATTTTCCAAAATTTGTTCTCCTTTCGATAATATTGTTAATATTTTGTAATAGTTTTATTTTTGCATCTTTCAATTCTTTGCTATCCGTATAAACAATTTCTTGCTCTAAAATATCACACCTCAAGTCCAGCAAATAATTTCTCCATCGTCTATGCATGAAATATGCCATAACACCGATTACTATTATAAGAAATAGTAATCCATTGGAAATTTCAATTTGCTCATAAGAAATATCGTATAAATCTGGCAAATTTATTCGTTTGAAAAGCAATGACATGGACCGTTTGCAATCTCCCAGCCATAATATTGGTAAAATACTAATAACAATTATATATAGATAATTAATAATTGGTTGTGTTTGCACTAGAAATACTTCGTAAGCGTTCATTATTATGAATTACGTTGAAATATTATATTTTTTTTTCAATATTTTAATTGAGTAAACAAATAAATAACGATAAAATTTACAAGGAAATTGTATATATAGGGTGTCTATCTTATGAAAATATTTTAATTTTAACAATCAAAGAAAAATTTTAATATTATTTGAGTATTTCGTTTTTTTATAGAAATTATTAAAAAAAAAACATTCATGCGAATTATTTTAAAGCCTAAAAATATGCTTTAAATTTTAGTTGCATTTATATACTGTAAAAAATCAATTGCTTTTTAAGATATTTCCCCCGAAAATTTGAGCTTGTTTCATTTAAACATACCGCTTGTAAAATTTTGTCTGTGGTCAAAGGATTTGGATATTTTAGTCCTTTGTCTGACAAGGTTTTTTCAATTTGTTTCTTTTTTTACGCAAAGGAATGATAAAATTTTAATGTCTTTGAGAGGCACTTCCAATGGCGTATACGTTCAAAACTATTGAACATTTTAGAACATTTCACATGTTCATTTGGGCCACCCTAAAACGTATGTATGTATGTATATTTAATATACTTCGGGGAGTTGGTCAACATTACATTTAAAAGTTATTAGTAGTATTTGACAAAAACGATTTAAAATTAACCCTCTAATATTTTAGGTTGAATTAAAGGTTTTAAGTGAAATAATTCTAATCATATTTTATTCTTTCTAAGCTCTATTTGTATGGAAACATCAAACAAACATCAGCGCGGAAGTGTTATGATTTCCCTACACTGTGGTGCAGGGGTAGTAAAGCTTTGACTTCAACGAATTTTCTTATTATTTATATTTACGTATTCAAAATTTGTTTCTTATTAGTTGTTCCTGCATCTCCGTAAAAAAAAAAACGAATATTAAACGCTTTATATTCTAAACCGAAAAAGGCAAGAACCAATTTGTTTCACAATTTATTTAAGAATTTTTGATTCTAACACACTGTTTGTAAACACAAAACGTAACTTTTTAAAGTTGTTCACTTTTAAAATGCTATTTATACATAAACATTATTAGCAGACATAAAAAGTTGTTTACTTTTTATGCACTTTAGTAGCCACAAAAAATATGCCACATCACTAATTAACATATTCATACAAATCACACTCCCATCGTTATTATTAAAAGAACTGTCTTGTTTTAATATTTTCTTTTTAATTTTATTCGTGTTCTCCTTAGAAGAAAATTTACAATAAAAAAATGTTTTCATTATATTCTTGCCACAGGCAAAAATATCCAGGAATATGTAATGAAAAAAATACATTGTCCATGCTTCGTAACACTATAAAATATGATTTTTAATTTAAACAAAAAAGGAATTAAAAAAAGTTCGGTCGAGCAGCATGATAATCTCTCTCTACATTAATAATTAAAAAATGGTAAATTAAAACTAAAGTTGTTTGCCGCAATGTGCAACATTTCAGTTCGTTTGTGTGCTGGTAGAGAAGAGCGCTAAGGCACCGCTGGCCAAACCAATGGAGAAGATGTAGTTAACGAGGGGAGCAGAGTTCTTCAACAAGAAGAAACTGATGAAGATGGTGATGGCCAAGAATAGGGCATTGTTGTAGAAGATGGAATAGGTGGTAGCCTCATAATCAGCAACTTCATTCTTTTTCCACAAAATACGTTCTTCCTTTTCCTTGCGGGTGACTTTCTTGTCATCGCCCATTTGACGGTTGACTTCACGGGTTACGGCGCCTTCACGACGTACAGCGATTTTATGTTTCAATTGGAATTTAACATTTTTGTAGGCCATGGCCATCAAATATGTGCTGGCACCAGTCATCAAGATGAAGAAAATGGCACTGGACAATAAATCCATACTGTGGACACGCCAGAAAAGCCCTAAAAGTATAAATAATTACATTATAATTGGAAATATACAACAAAAAAAAAATAAACTATAATCGGTATCTGTCTGTCTGTTTGTCTGCAGGTCTATCGACGTGTCACAAAAACTACTTACAGATGGGGACGGCAGAGACGATGAATGCATTGCCGTAGAATAAAGCTGAGGATTTTGTGCTGACATTGCGGCTGAAATCTTGCAATAAAAGCTCTTCTTCCTTGGTGAATCCAGAGGATTGTACTTTTTGTTGTTTCTTGTCGGCTCCCATTTTATTTATTTGTATTTAATAATTTATTATTTGAAGCTAAAACAAATTTAAAACCAAAACTACAGCGGTTATTTTGAAGAGAAAGTGTTTTCTGTGTGACCGAACTCACCAAACGACGAATGCAAATACGAAAGCAAGTGGCTGTCAAAAAGTTAATGTGACGTGTTAACAGAGTTGCCAAGTATATTATATCATACAGCGTCATCTATGAAATGTAAACAATACTAATTTTGTTATTGTCTGCAGCGACATCTAGATGTCAATATTCATAAAAATAAGAATTTTTTAATATTTTGAAATGTAGAAACATTAAAATAGAAATAATCCATGCTGAACTACTTTTGTTTTAGAATAATAATTATTCAAAGATCATAATCTATTTTACAAACTATTATTTTTCAAAAGTTAAAATATAAACAAAGTATTTTGTTTCTACAACTACTGAGGGCGTTTCGAGTTCGTACAAAAATTAAACATTTTTGATTTTAGATATCGAATTTTTGTCAAATTGTATGAATGGTCTATTTATAATTATAACAAAATTAAAAAATTGCGTTTAAAAGCAAAATAGACATCTCCATAAGAAGAAATATAAATGGAATTAAAACTTAAGTTAAAAGAATTGAGTTTTTTTATAATAAATTTAAAGTTTGTTTTTGTTTGCGTGGACCTAAATATTCATAATTGCCTGCTGGCGGTATGAGTTTATAAACAAAATAGACATCTAAACTCACACTTTTTATCCGACCAAAAATAGAATAAAACTCTCATGTATGGACCGTTGCTTCGAAGTCTATTTTGTGGTTACTCCATCACGTACAGGAGAGAGGAAGGTACTTATCGGTGACAGTAGGGTATCCAAATCTATTGATTCTCTAGAACACCGTCGCAATGTGGGGTGTGTTTCACTGTTCTATCGATACTACAATCGAATGTGGTTTTCTGAAATAATTCATCTTGTTCCCAATACACGCAACACACACATATCTTCAAGGAGTTGATTGGGTAAATTCGTTTTATAGCCGTACAGGTCGTATTTGAAATAAACATTTTTTCCTGTCACTTACGATGAAGGCAAATTTAAATCGAATGCTCACAAATACTATTCCCTATATCCTCCATCCCATAACCTACTTTAATAGTGTCATTACAATGCATTGCGTGATTAGGGATCATCTCCTGATTTATAGAATTCTATTTTAAATGTAATGGATATATTTAAACGGATCGATAAAAATTGCGGAATTAAACTATTTCTATGTAAATTGAGGCCCGAAATGTTGAATAATTAATTTTTCGCCCCCATTGTGTTTTCTAATTAAAAGCTAATCTGGTAACACCATTTTTTTGCAGCTCAAGGTGAATACAAACAGATGATCTCATTTTAACAGCTGATTGTTAGTTTGTTTATAATAATTTATGTCTAGACTGTCAAAGTCGATATATAAAAAATTATCTCACAACCGATGCTGTCAAACTTTATATAAAAAAATACTGATTAAACCGAAACTGTGGCCATCTTTTAAGGGTTCAACTTGATTGATTCTGTTGTTTTTTTTTACTTGTTTAAACAAATTTTATCTGTTGTTTTGAACGGTTTATTATTTTAATTTTACTGCGTTTTTTAATTTAATTTAAAATTTTTTTATAATTTATCTTAAAAAGTGTATTATTTAATAAACATTAAGTTTAAAGTATTTTGCTAAAGATTTTTATTATTTTAGTAAATTTTTATCAGGTAAAACTACATGATGACCCAAATTTAAAGAAGAGGAATGTTCAAAGTCCAAATTTTGTATTTTGTACTTACAGTGACAAATATGCAGTCGGCAGCTACAAGGTCATTCACAAGATTGTTCCGCAAGCCGGAGACGCTCCTTCGCTGTATGTCCTCAGCATCAGCAGGAAAATTAACTACAGTCGAAGTAAATGATAAAACCGGCGTAGCCGTTTTGACCATGAATCGTCCCCCGGTTAATGGTTTGAATTTAGAATTGTTGCGTGACATACACAATTCAATTGAGGAAATTGAATCGAATAAATCTCGAGGACTAATCTTGACTTCGGTATGTTTATGAGATAATGGCAAGAGCTTTTGTGTAATCTATTGTAACTATTTAGTCTTCCAGCACAATATTTTCAGCCGGTTTGGATATTATGGAAATGTATAAACCTAATCAAGATAGACTGAAAGAATTTTGGACTACTTTACAAGATACCTGGTTGGCTTTGTATGGCTCAAGTGTACCAACAGCGGCTGCCATAAATGTAATAACATTTCATTGAAATAGTTTGTAATTAATTAACAAAAATATTATTGTTTAGGGTCACTCGCCAGCTGGAGGTTGTCTATTGGCTACCAGCTGTGAATATCGTGTTATGTTGCCTAATTACACAATTGGTCTTAACGAAACCAAATTAGGTATAGTGGCACCTAAATGGTTTATGTACGCCTTTTGCAATGTCTTGCCTCGCCGTGTTGCTGAAATGGCCTTAACTCAAGGCAAAATGTTTAGCAGTGAAGAAGCTCTTAAAGCAGGCCTTGTAGATGAGTTAGCACAAACAAAGGAAGAAGCCCTGGCTAAATGTGAACAATTCTTTGGTACTTTTGCAAAAACTAATCCATTCGCTCGTGCCATGACCAAACAACAGTTCCGTTCAAAGGACTTGCAACAATTCGAGGATGAAAGAGCTCAAGATTTGGAAGCTTTTATATTCTTTATTAATCAGCCCAATGTTCAAAAAGGTTTGGGCCTTTATTTGGAAAGTCTTAAGAAGAAATCCAAGTAAATCACGAGACTGAAATGAAATTGAAAAAAGTTCTGAGAATCCTATTTTATTTTTAAATGCATTTATTTGTATATTTTTATATAGATAATAACACACAGTTATAAAAAGTATATATTTAAATTAAATGAATTATTACGTTAACTCCTTCTTATATTTAGCTTTCTTCATTAAGTAGTCCCTCTCGTACTTCATGTTGCAATGATTGTAGATTCTCAGTCATCAAGTCTAAATATGTGTTAATTTCTAGAACTTTTGCCCGATTGCGCTCCAGTTCATCTCTATAAGAAGAAATATAAATGGAATTAAAATTTAAGTTAAAAGAATTGAGTTTTTTATAATTAATTTAAAGTTTGTTTTTGGTTGCGTGGACCTAAATATTCATAATTGCCTGCTGGCGGTATGAACTCTTCGCAACCAAAATGACAAACAGATAATTAATGTTATTAATTTATAGAGATATTTAAGAAAATTACCGCACGATTTGCTTTATTTAATATACAAATAAATGAAAAAGCAAAGTGAGTTGAAGGGTAACTCAAAATAATCCCATAAACATAACATGAATGAAATTTAGTGATCAAAACCACAAAGTAAATAAACCACAATACATAAACCAAACCATAAAATCTAAATTAAACCACAAAACCTAAACCAAACCACAATAGTGAATGAAATTTAAAATCATAGATAACTAAAAAATTGCTGAGTGTAACGTACTTATTCAATTTATCGATCATGTCATCAATGAACGATTTGCTGCGAGTCATTAAACGATCTTCACGTTCATCGATACGCTGTGTATGATAGTCCTTCATGCCAGCTATTAAATTGGCTATAGCTTCACGATCTTCCATGCAATTTCGCAGCGGCTCAGGAACACCTTCAAAATCTTGTAAAGCCAATTTCGTAGCAATATAACGATTGACAATTTCACCCAAATTTTCCGCAAAATGTAAAGCAATATCACGCAATTGGCCGAAATAAGTTTGAGCTTGTTCGACAAATTTTGCTATCATCTCCTGAAGACGTCTTTGGAAAATAATGATTGTTTCCTGAAGATATTGAAATTTAAATATTTGATATACTCTGACATCACTGTTTTATTACTATTTAACTCACCTCTGTTGTCTCATGCAAATGCAATTCCTGACTCATTAATTGCTGCCACACTTTATTGACCATGTCATCAAATTGCACTGCTATACGATCCAATTTATCTGAATATTCCAAACTCTCTTCCGTTTCCTCCTCCTCACCCCGTATAGCTCTACTTTCTAAGTACTTGTGACATGCTATCGCTTCTTCGAATATATTTTCCTTATACTGTTGAAATTCTTCTAGTATTTTGTGACCCATTTGTTGTACCTCCAAGTGTCCTTCTTCCATGCTGCTGGTAAATTCTTCAATTTCTTTTTGACGTTCTTCAAATTTCTGCAAACCTAGCTTATAGATTTCCTGAGTCAATTCGAAAATATCCTTATCATATTCTTCGGCCAAATCATCGGCTGGTGAGCCGACCATCATAAGTATGCGCCCATCGTCGTCACCCTTCCATAATGACTCGTAGAGTTGATGTTCGTTTAAATGTTCGACGAAACTTGAGGATAGACGTTCTGCATCTTGTTCCTCTTTAGCTTTTTGGGCACGAGTTTGAAGTTCGATCTCTTCGTTAGCCTTAATTTCACGAAGTTCCCTACTGGAATTAGGAAAAATAGATTTTCGGAAGTTAAAAGCTACATAATCTTTTTCAACAATTTCAATTTCTTAGCAAAGAATTTATGTACATTCTCCGCATTGATATGATCAAAACCCGGAATTCTTCTTTTATTTTTGGTTATAAATATTTCGGACACTATCGTCTGTATATTTATATCAACAGAAAAATGGTAAAAATGGTTATAGATCATGTTTATATTGATATTAAACTTACTAATAACGTACTTTAGCCCTTTGGCGATCCTCATTTTTAATGGCCACATACTCATAATATTTGACATGTGGTAAAACAGCGGCAATATAATCCACTAAACAGAACTCTGGATTATTACATAAAGGATTTCCTTCCAAATTTAAAACTTTTAAATTTTTCAGAAAACGTAAGCGTTCAATCTGAAAACCAAAAAAATATTAAAAAAAATATCACCAACTTCTTAAAAAGTAAATACTCACTCCTTCAGTCGAATTTATTAGATTATTACCAATACTAAATATAATCAATTTCTCTAAAGTATCTAAATTTTCCAATTTTGTTATCATATTGCTGAATAGAGACAAAACCTCTAAATTTACCAATTTTTCCAAATTTTCTATACGTTCTATATAGTTAAAACTAAGATCGAGCTCTTTAAGATTCACCAGCATTTCAATATTTTCAATAACCTCGATTTTATTACAATTTAAGGCCAACTTGGTTAAATTTGGTAGTATCCATAAATGATCTATGCGTAAAATATCTAAGAATTCAAAGATATTTACTACAAGTATCTTTAAATTAAAAAAATGTAAGTACTCACTACTTACTTCTAAAATCTAAACGTAACGTTGTTATGCGTTCATATATTACCGGTTCCATTTGATGCAAACGTGCCTCTTCACCTTTATAGCAATCTTCTAAATATGATTTCTCGATCATGTGCTTGCTTATAATACCGGGTTCAATCTCTGGATATATGATTTCCTCCAGTGATTTGAGATTATCCATCTTTCTATTGTTATCCGTTGTTGTTTGTGCCATATTCGATTGTAAACTACTAAAACTAAAGAAGAGTGTAGAATGTAAGGAAGTTCAATTTGTTTGTTGGTTGCCAAGGAGTTTTCTATGGATATAAATCTCTTTTATGTTCTTATTAGAGAGGGAATGAAAATAAATTTGGATTGTCTCCGGGTCGGGGTGCTGTCCTGTTTCATTTATAGCTCATATGCTTTAAAAAACTTCTTCAAATAAACTTCTATAACCATTCTAATTGAATCCATATGTAATAAACGACAGGTCGAAAAAGATAAGCGTAGTCACTATGGAAGGATAAGTTAAGACAGATAAAATATCTGTAACTGTCAGACTACGAACTATCCTTTTTGATGTTGTTTATCAAACTTGAAACACGCAATGAATGTAAAATCGAGAGTAAAGCCAATCCTAACGGATTGATGAAAGGCACGAGTTTTACAAGGTCAAGTTTTATTTACCAAATACCCATATATTTCTAACTGTGGGTCACCAGATTTGGTTTTCGTAGAATCTTTGAGGTTGTCATAACTAAAAGGGACTAGTGGACCAATCTCACCAAGTCTGATTGATTGAATTGAATACTGATCAAGTTTGTTTCAAAGATAGATCTAAACTAATAAATGGTGAAACTGGATATATGTGACCCTAATTTCTAGAACGCCATTCGCGTGGGATAGTACCCTATGCAAATGGTGTTATATACTTCATCTTAATTTGTTAAAGGGAGTTCTGAGAAAGATATGGATTATACGATGGATTATATGTCCAAGATGAAGAAATTAACCAACTTGCATCATAACCAGGTAGTTATAGACAAATTATTGGTAAGGAGCGCACATTTTATTTCTGCAAACTAAGCCGATTCCCAATTGCTGTCATCACTGGATATTGTATGTAAATTTAGTAACCACGTACAAAGACTTGTCATGACTACTGTAGAAGAGCAATCAATTGACCATTTGGGGCATCGATTTTGGAGGATTTTCAGAGCTATCTGGCGGTAAAATAGATAATCTAAACGTCTTTATTAGACACAGCGGTCTCTATTAATATTTTCCTTCAATTTTACTTATTTCTTATCTACTATCTCAAGTCTCAAGCACTATATTATTGTCATATCAAATCGTTGTTGGTTGTTGTAATGGACTGTTTGACATCCTTGAATGAATTAGTGTGTCATTGTTATTCTGTCAATGAAGGGTCTGATTGCCTTTGTTTATAGGAGTTTAGCCATCGGTCTTAAACATTTCTTAGGGAAGTGCTAAGGTATGGTTCATGAGTTTAATCTTAATTTATTCACCTTTGAAGGGCCACATCCGATCTCAGATAGAAGCTTTTTGTAATGCTATAGAAAGAAAAATAACAAGCCAGAATATGGAGAAAAACTACTAAGGGTAGGTATCACATTGAGTAAAATGGCTTCCTAATGAAAGTACTTGCCAAACCATATTCTTATAAAAACGTTGAAATTTTCGCAACATCAGTGTGAATCAAACTATATTAAAGGATCTTGAGAACTTTCGAAAATTGAATTTGAAAATAAAAAATGCAATAATTAAATATAATAGTTTTAAATTTAACTGACTAATAAATACCGATTACTAAACACCAAATATTTACTATTTCTTGATATTGTTTTGGCCAATTCCGCATTCACACAGTTTCCCATGGTTACCACAAGAAATCAAACCAAAATTTCTTTTAAATAAACCACCCTTGAAGAAGTCTTCCACGATTTACATAGAAAATTTTGTTTAGTTCAGTGACACCCACCTTAAGGTGTTCATTTCTTGCCATTTATTATAATTTAAAAGATAAATAAAAGTTAAACGAGATAGTCGAATAATATACAAAACAATCCTAACAGGTGCAATAGTTTCCCCAAGACCATGCGATTCACGTTTACATTTTCGCTGTTGTTGTAGTATATGTATTTGTTGGTATTTAGTGTGGTCGGTCGGTCGGTGGCTATTTGGTCTAGTGCATTTTAAAACGGGGTAGTTGAAACTTTATATCGTTTTTTGTTATTTTTTTAATTTAATTTAACGTCCGGTGTGCGTGTCTAGTCCTTATAGACAACACGCTCCTTCGTTTTTTGCCTCGTTTACTCTCGTTTGTTTTACTCACTTATACACTCGCAAATACAAACATATGTTTGTCCTTTCGCTCTTGACGTCTTGTAAAATTCGTTATATTTTGTTGTTGTTCCTGTTCGATAGTAATGTAACTCTCTGATGGCTAGATCCGCTGAAAAAGTCTTGGCAACGTCTATACTAGTGCTAGTTACATTCGTGGTTGTTGTGGTATCAGTTTTGTACGTTTTTCTTCTTGATAAAAAATATTTTCAAGTGCCACAAATTGTAAAGGAAGAATTTTATACAAATTTAAAATAATATCGTTTTTTTTTAATTAAAAATAAAAGTGAAAAAACTAACTGTAATCTAATGTCTAATAAAAGTGTTGTAAATTGAATATTTAATAAAAAGGTTTATTTAAAAAAAGCCGAATAGAAAACCTTGTAGTTGGTCATAAAACCCGACAGAAAATAAGTTTTATTTTAACTAGAAATTAATTTTGATTTAATCGATAAAAGGCAGTAATTAAATCCTGGTGAAAAAATACGTGAAAAACAAGCAGCCCTTTGGACTATTGACCCATACATTCATATCATTCGATGATATTTTAACAAGTAGTAAGTAAAGTGTGGTGACAAAATATACATTTTTTTAATTTTTTTTTTAATTAAATTCAAATATGTTTTCTAGTACATGTAAAAGTGTAGACATACTTATTACAAATATATTATCTTTTTGTGGTAAAAATCGGTTAGTAAGTTTGTATTCAAGTTGATTTTTTATTAATGACTGTAATTATTTCAAAAGTAATTGTGAACTTTGCAACAACAAAAGACAGACAACGAAGAATGTGTGACATATTTTTCGATTAAATAGTATTAGTTTGAATTCTAAATTTTAATGTCCTTAAAAAAAACACAATAAATAACTTCGTAAACAATAGTTAATAGTAATTGGCTCTTGCTGCTATTGCTCATCATCAACCAGAAAATTGTTATATTTTATTATTGATTTCTTATTATTAGATTTTTTCCATTCTATAAGAAAATGGAAGTTCTTTTAAATTATTGTCATAACGTATTGAAATCGCTTTAAATTCCCCATTAAATGGAAAAGGGAATAAATCTAACTTCTAAATATTGTTCGAACAATGTAAGTTTAATTTCAGTTATTTGTACGTGTAGTAATCTCTTTGGGTTTAAATGTATATGTACCTACACATTTTTTAAATAATTCGATCGTTTATCAATGTTTTATATATCCCCGCGGTACTGGGGATTCCCGCTTACAACAAGTAATCAATTTTGTTGTTTGCTAACAAGAGTGCTATATTCGGCTATGCCGAATCTTAAATACCCTCTAAGCTACTTTTTATTAAACCCCATTTAACTATCTAATTTTTAGATAATCCGGCATAAGTTCAGTTTCCGTAGTTCATTTAGTTATTGATTAAGGTGGAGAAAAATTTATATTAAGTGATTTTCGGGTATGGACTTTTTACGAACGCTATGACCTATTATGGCCGATCTTACCGATGCATCGCGATGCCAAAAAATTTAGGAGAATGATTTGTGTATACATATTTACGAAATATTTTCCAGTCAAGTTTTACTCCGATATCCGAATTATATTTGTTAAGTGATATTCGAAACGAAGTAAATGACCTTATATGGGAACTTATGACCAATTATGGGCCAATTCAAAAAAAAAAAAAAAATTAGCAGAATGATTTATCTATACACAGAATATACTGATATCCAATTTTATCCGGATATAATCATTTAATAATAAATTATGTGGTATTAAGTGACTTTCAGAAGTGAACCTTATATGGGAGCTATTATCAGGAAAATTTCCTTATAATGATTTATATATAAAAACAACACATAGCTTTATTTATAATTGAAATATGTGCGTTTAAGTCATTTTCGGAAATGGTCCTTATATGGGAGATATAAGCAATTAAGGACGGATCAGGAAAAATACATACATATGTATATGCATTATTTATCAATGAGATATGTTCGTTAAGTTATTTTTGGACCGATTCAATTCTACGTTGGTAATATGTTACCCGTACATATTATATTTATATATACAAAATTTAGTGGTGATATCGATATTTGGATAATGTAATTAACGATAAATCTATCTCCGGAAACATGTACCTTTGTATGAATTTGGTGGATTTCCTTTGCTTGGTTTTAACGTGATCGTGTTTTACATAGACAGACAGATATAGCTAAATCGACTCAGAATTTCACAAGGACAAAGAATATATATACATACTTTGTTGGGTCTTAGATGAATGTTTCTTGGTGCTACATACGGAATGAAAAACTTATATAAACTTTATCACTACTGATGGTGATGGAGGATATAAAAACGTTATATTTTAATGGGTTGTTTCGGAGTTATATTTCCCTTACTTATGGCCCGATTTATCCGTTTTTATATACCAATCTTCTCGAAATCATGTCTGTCATGGTTTTCTGAAAACTGACTTTAACATACATAATGTCAAACAGACAGACAGATGTAGATTTAGAATTGATTTAGATTAGAGAGAGCCCTAAGCGCTGCGATCCTATTTTGGATCTTTTGTGCAGCCCATGGGTTCACCAGAACAGGTTTAATTCACGTATGAAAATAACAGGTTTGATTGGTAGAGGTTGAATATATCCTTCGGGACTAGTGTTGCAGCACCTACGATTCTTTCTCGACGTGTCCTTAGTGTTGGACAATTGCACAATATATGTACCGAGGTTTGCTCCTGACAGCCACAAAATCTGCATAGCTTAGATATGGCGTTTCCTAGGATGAATTGATGATATCTGAGACCACTGTGTCCCGTGAGTAGTCCCGGTAGTATTCTGAGATCACTTTTAACAGCTTTTGGGATTTTCCTCTTGATAGCGTGATTAAGCGCTTGGTCTGTCTAAGCCCTGTTGTTGCTCCCCAGTGGCGAGCAAATTCCAATTCGACCCACGATACGCATCTTTGTCTGACGTAACCTTGTGGGATCAGGGCCGAACCATTCTTTGGTATCCCACAGGACACAGAGTCCATCACAACACCCGACCTTATTTCATGCGAAAGTAAGGCCTTGAGTGCTGCTTGGCTGTCTGACATTACGTAAATTCTAAGACCCCTGAACCTTCTCCTCACGCACTCAGATGGCACAGATGAAGATGGCGTATATTTCCGCCTGAAAGATTGAGAGATATTTTCCCATGGAGATTCCCTTCTGGAAGTTAGGACCACAATTGCCTGTTCCAGTATCACCATCTGTGTGTTTGGACCCGTCAGTAAACCATACTTGATCAGCATTTTGCTGTCACCATGTATGTTTGGCCCATTTGTTCTTGTCAGGTATCATAACCTCAAAGGTACGGTCAAAAACCAATGTTGGTGATCTACAATCATGGACGCGGACATATGGGTCGTTGATGAATAATTTGAATATACTTATATGCCCTTCCAGGTCATCTGTTCTTAGACTGGCGGTTTCCGGTAGGCGAATTGCCAGCTTACAAGCCCCAATGGCATATGTATGACATGTTCTCATGGCCCCCGTAATAGAGACGCAGACGAGACGATAAAGTTGGTCCAGAGAAGCCCTAGTAGTGGCCTGCTCCACTTTTTTCCACCAGACTAAGGCAGCATATGTCAGAATGGACTTTATTATGATATTAAAAGTCCATGAGATCATTTTCGGTTTTAAACCCCATGTATTACCAAAAAGCCTTTGGCAGGCATATAATGCCCTAATGGCTCTATTGATCGTACTGGATACATGCGAGTTCCAATTTAGGTTTTTGTCAAGAATGATCTCTAAGTATTTAACTTCCTCAGAGAACTTAATAATATACCCGTTAAGAGTAGGCTCAATAAGTCTCAGAGATCTGCGTCGTTTAAATGGTACAAGGATAGTTTTTGAGGGATTACTTGTTAGCCCTCTTTCCTCACACCATTTGGCTGTAATATTAATTGCCTGCAGCATCCTCTCCAATATCGTTACATCGTCGAAGCCTGCGATAGATATGACAAGGTCGTTAGCATAATCGTATGTTCGGAAATCTAAGTCATTAAGTTTTTCAAGTAGACTATCGATTACCAGTGCCCATAATAATGGCGATAATACGCCTCCTTGGGGACAGCCTCTTGTGTCCCATATGGTTCTCGATTTTCCGCAAAGGTCAAACTTAATGACTCTTGATGTTTGCATTTCCAGAGTCAAGTTTCTGATAACCTTTGGAATGCAAGGTCTATCGCATCATATGACATGTTGTCGAATGCTCCTTGCATGTCTATAAAAGCACATATGGCTATTTGTTTGGAGCCCAGAGCCTTCTCAATTCTCGTCGTGACATGATGGATAGCAGTCACCGTCAACTTGCCGGGTTGATAAGCAACTTGAAACCGGAATCGGGTTCTTTGAAAGATAGTGTAGTCAATACAATTAAACTTTACATAATTTTATAAAAATACTTTCAACTTAAAAAATAATTTTGTATCAATACAGTTTAGATTTAAAAATAATAAAAAATTTCATTCTGGTTTAAAAAACGAAAAATAGAAACAAGCTAAAAATTGAATTCACACTTGTTTCAATAGGTTTTCGAATGTCTACAATTTTATTCAACAATAAATGGCTTAAGTATATCTGAGGCAAGGCACAATTCAAATTAAATGCTTTATTGTGAAAACTAAATCACATTTTATTTTTGTAACAGGTGTAGGGTATTATATGGTCGGCCTCCCCCGACTATAGTTTCTTACTTGCTAAAAGCTTCAATATTTGGTACAAGTTACAATCCATTATTAAAAAATCTAAACCTGCAATGCAATTGAGTTTTTTTTTTGTGAAAATTAGCAAATGAACTTATACATACATATGTATAACTTAACATATTCAAATGGGAAAATTTTCTGGACTATGGCTCTTTATATAAATCTCCGGTAGATAATCTGCCGGTTAAGATAATTTTAGTATAAAAAGGTTCAACATATTGTTACTGTAACAAATAACTAGAAATTTAATTAATTAGGCATCGAAAGTAAGTGGAGAATGTACCAGTGCATGTGTTCAAAGTAAGATAGTAATCTAGAATAGAAAATTATTCCTAATCTGAAAATCAAATAATCCAAGATACATACATATGTATGTACATTAGGTTGGTTTTAAAAAATCGATGTCTGATTTCTTTAGGGGGCACCCCCCTAAAATGTTTCATTTTGTTAGATTTTAAGATGTTAACACGTGCCACTGGGGCCTCAAAGTTTTAAAATCTCGTTTTTTTTGTTTGGCGACTTTGCCAACCCATATCTCTAGAAGGGTTTGACATATTTGCCCGTGTAATACATCAAATTGTAACTAGTACCAAAATTGAGATAATGAAACCAATGTCCATAAAATCGTAACTATATAACCCCTAGAGCTTTCGTATTTTAATAGATTTTCAATGAGGTCTCGGTCTTGTTTTGCCGCTTAACACGCTCTGGCGGCGAGGACGAGGAAAACACAAAGTGCTTCTATGGCCTCTTGTCCTTGGGAAATAGGTTTTGCCATCCACCGGGCATGGACTTGGAGATTTGAAGATATATCAATGCCAACTGTAACAGCTCTTTGTAGTCGTCTCTTGGCTGGCATTACATTAGTTTTCTTTGCAGTTCTTGTTTGATATTCTCTACTTCTTCTTTGGACATTTTCGCCTATATCGAACTTTAATCGCCGACCGTTCTTTTTGAAACCTCTTGAATATGCCTCAACAAGACTTCTAAAACGTGGTGTCGATAAGCTCTTGACCTAACATCTGCTCCAGGAGATTGCACTCTTCATTGAGTCTCGCAGTATTTGATGCTGTTGTATCGAAATTAGGCAAGGTTATCAAGGCTTGTATAAAACTTAGCTGTACTTTAATAACAACGTTTACATGGACACAGAAAGTGATTCTGTGTCGATCGGTATACTTAAAGGTGGGTATAGTACCAATATTTTAGTGCGTTATAAACATCAGCACAAACGCATAATACCCTTCCCACTATAGTGTACTGTACTTTAATAACAACGTTTACATGGACACAGAAAGTGATTCTGAGTCGATCGGTATACTTAAAGGGTGGTATATTACTAATATTTTAGTGCGTTACAAACATCAGCACAAACGCATAATACCCTTCTCACTATAGTGGTGTAGGGTATAAATATACCAACACCATGAGTATGTGGCTTATCTTGATGGTATTTTACCGTATGACCTTGGAAGTTCGTGAAGTCGCCACAAACATTCCATTCTATCTTGCTACCCACATTCCGCGGGCAGTTGGGCCAGTTTTTCCACTTAGACTAGTAAGTCTACGTTCGTCATCAAGGCTGAATTTGACGGCTATACGTACGGAGTCACATTAATGAGTACGTTTACTGAGGACCACGTGGAAACAATGACCGATTTAAAAACATCGACCTGTAGGTGTTTAAAATGGTTAACTACAAATTTTGCAACAAAATTTTAAAGGTATGGGAAATACGAATTGTTGATTTAGGTCCTTTAATGACAATATAACTCCAGGTGGTGTAGTTTCTATATCATTTAACCAAAATTAACGCAACTATCATTAATGCTTTGAAGTAATAAACTGATATACATATCACACATTTATTAAAATAGTGTCTTAACTCAAAAAATATCATTTCTAAAAAAGTCTTTAAATTTACTAATTTACTATCCTTTAAATCCTTTAGGTATTAGAAAGCTTTTAATATAAAATTATTTGAAAAAGAATTAGCCGAAATTTGGAATTATGACACTATTGAAGTAAATAAATAATATGCATGAACATAATACTACCGTACAATTATCTAATTATGTGTAGGTGTGAGTTATAGGCTTGTTCTTTATATTTTATCTATTTCCGGTACTATGTACTAGTTCTAAAATAAAAAAGTATGCCACATGGATAACGACAATGACCTTGAATATAAATTTTTTTTGGTTTACTTTACTAAATAATAATTGACATTTAACTATGTATTCAAAAACAAGTATAATGTGTTTTACTTGCTTTTTAACTAAAATATTGATTGATTAATTACAACGTGTTCGCATATCAAAGAAATTAAAAATGTTGAACAAAATAAAAATATGCATATTAAAACTAGTCTTCAAAATGAACTTATTCTGAAAATACTGTAAATTTAACACGATTCTACGGTAACGTCAGTCACAATACCCAGATTAAAACGACTGTCTATAGTCTAGTCTATAGTCTAGTCTATAGTCTAGTCTATAGTCTAGTCTATAGTCTAGTCTATAGTCTAGTCTATAGTCTAGTCTATAGTCTAGTCTATAGTCTAGTCTATAGTTTAGTCTATAGTTTAGACTATAGTCTAGTCTATAGTCTAGTCTATAGTCTAGTCTATAGTCTAGTCTATTGTCTAGTCTATAGTCTAGTCTATAGTCTAGTCTATAGTCTGGTCTAGTCTAGTCTAGTCTATAGTCTAGTCTATAGTCTGGTCTATAGTCTAGTCTATAGTCTAGTCTATAGTCTAGTCTATAGTCTAGTCTATAGTCTAGTCTATAGTCTAGTCTATAGTCTAGTCTATAGTCTAGTCTATAGTCTAGTCTATAGTCTAGTCTATAGTTTAGTCTATAGTTTAGACTATAGTCTAGTCTATAGTCTAGTCTATAGTCTAGTCTATAGTCTAGTCTATAGTTTAGTCTATAGTTTAGACTATAGTCTAGTCTATAGTCTAGTCTATAGTCTAGTCTATAGTCTAGTCTATAGTCTAGTCTATAGTCTAGTCTATAGTCTAGTCTATAGTCTAGTCTATAGTCTGGTCTATAGTCTAGTCTATAGTCTAGTCTATAGTCTAGTCTATAGTCTAGTCTATAGTCTAGTCTATAGTCTAGTCTATAGTCTAGTCTATAGTCTAGTCTATAGTCTAGTCTAGTCTATAGTCTAGTCTATAGTCTAGTCTATAGTCTAGTCTATAGTCTAGTATATAGTCTAGTCTATAGTCTAGTCTATAGTCTAGTCTATAGTCTAGTCTATAGTCTAGTCTATAGTCTAGTCTATAGTCTAGTCTATAGTCTAGTCTATAGTCTAGTCTATAGTCTAGTCTATAGTCTAGTCTATAGTCTAGTCTATAGTCTAGTCTATAGTCTAGTCTATAGTCTAGTCTATAGTCTAGTCTATAGTCTAGTCTATAGTCTAGTCTATAGTCTAGTCTATAGTCTAGTCTATAGTCTAGTCTATAGTCTAGTCTATAGTCTAGTCTATAGTCTAGTCTATAGTCTAGTCTATAGTCTAGTCTATAGTCTAGTCTATAGTCTAGTCTATAGTCTAGTCTATAGTCTAGTCTATAGTCTAGTCTATAGTCTAGTCTATAGTCTAGTCTATAGTCTAGTCTATAGTCTAGTCTATAGTCTAGTCTATAGTCTAGTCTATAGTCTAGTCTATAGTCTAGTCTATAGTCTAGTCTATAGTCTAGTCTATAGTCTAGTCTATAGTCTAGTCTATAGTCTAGTCTATAGTCTAGTCTATAGTCTAGTCTATAGTCTAGTCTATAGTCTAGTCTATAGTCTAGTCTATAGTCTAGTCTATAGTCTAGTCTATAGTCTAGTCTATAGTCTAGTCTATAGTCTAGTCTATAGTCTAGTCTATAGTCTAGTCTTAGTCGAGTCTATAGTCTAGTCTATAGTCTAGTCTATAGTCTAGTCTATAGTCTAGTCTATAGTAGTCTATTAGTCTATAGTCTAGTCTATAGTCTAGTCTATAGTCTAGTCTATAGTCTAGTCTATAGTCTAGTCTATAGTCTAGTCTATAGTCTAGTCTATAGGTCTAGTCTATAGTCTAGTATAGTCAGTCTATAGTCTAGTCTATAGTCTAGTCTATAGTCTAGTCTATAGTTAGTCTATAGTCTAGTTATGTCTAGTCTATAGTCTAGTCTATAGTCTAGTCTATAGTCTAGTCTATAGTCTAGTCTAGTCTAGTCTATAGTCTAGTCTATAGTCTAGTCTATAGTCTAGTCTATAGTCTAGGTCTATAGTCTAGTCTATAGTCTAGTCTATAGTCTAGTCTAGTCTATAGTCTAGTCTATAGTCTAGTCTATAGTCTAGTCTATAGTCTAGTCTATAGTCTAGTCTATAGTAGTCTAGTCTAGTCTATAGTCTAGTCTATAGTCTAGTCTATAGTCTAGTCTATAGTCTAGTCTATAGTCTAGTCTATAGTCTAGTCTATAGTCTAGTCTATAGTCTAGTCTATAGTCTAGTCTATAGTCTAGTCTATAGTCTAGTCTATAGTCTAGTCTATAGTCTAGTCTATAGTCTAGTCTATAGTCTAGTCTATAGTCTAGTCTATAGTCTAGTCTATAGTCTAGTCTATAGTCTAGTCTATAGTCCAGTCTATAGTCTAGTCTATAGTCTAGTCTATAGTCTAGTCTATAGTCTAGTCTATAGTCCAGTCTATAGTCTAGTCTATAGTCTAGACTATAGTCTAGTCTATAGTCTAGTCTATAGCCTAGTTTATAGTCTAGTCTATAGTCTAGTGGAAAATTAGTTTTGTACTTTAAGTCCTAAAAAGGTACTATTTTGTTAAAAGTTAGTACTTTTCTAAAATGTCAATTAGGCATGGTCTGTTACAGATTATATTCAATATAATGTTTCCATGTAATTCATATCTTTGTCTTAAATCCTTTAATTTTAGCATTTAAATGACTGAACTATGAATCGTTATATAACCTTAAGTCAACTGGGAGATGGTACCTATGGCACTGTAGTGCTGGGACAACGAAAGGACACTGGAGAAAAGGTGGCCATTAAACGCATGAAACGAAAATATTATTCATGGGAGGAAGCAATGAATCTGCGAGAAGTCAAAGTAATAACAAATTTGCATTTAAAAACTCATGATTATTAAAAAAATTATTTAAATAATCTTTTATTACAGTCTCTCAAAAAACTATCCCATCCAAATATTGTGAAACTTAAAGAAGTTATAAGAGAAAATGATACATTATATTTTGTATTTGAATATATGAAAGAAAATCTGTATCAGATGATTAAAGATCGTGAGACTCACTTGCCAGAACCAACCTTAAAAAGTATATTGTTTCAGGTGAGTTTCACTTAAAATAATCGCAATTTCTTTAAGTAGTTTTCAATAATCTTTTAATTTAAGGTTTTTACTGGTTTGGCTTTTATGCATCGCCATGGATTTTTTCATCGTGATTTAAAACCTGAAAATTTACTGTGCTCCGGTCCAGAACTAATAAAGATAGCTGATTTTGGTCTGGCAAGGGAAATACGCTCAAGACCTCCCTTTACCGATTATGTGTCAACAAGATGGTTAGCGTTATTTGTGAAAAATAAAATATAATTTAATTATGTAATTTCTTAAAGGTATCGTGCCCCAGAGGTATTATTACACTCAACCACTTACGGCAGCTCTATTGATATGTGGGCCATGGGTTGTATTATGTCTGAATTATATACATTTCGCCCCTTATTTCCTGGGAGCAGCGAAGTTGATCAACTTTATAAAATATGTTCCGTTTTAGGGACACCAGATAAGGTAAATTGTTGTTAAATATTGGTTGTGATTAATGGATATATAGTTGGAATGTTGTCTGAGAAACTATGTGAAAATATATTTGGAATAATGTCTCTGAATAATTAAAGCTTCCTAAAGAGTTATTATAGGTAGGCTCTAGATAAGATTCCATTTGTAATTTGTCATAAGGAAGTAAAATCATTGATATTGCTTTGGCTAATAACAGTGAATCAAAGGGTAGATTCTTGATCTACCCTTTGATCGGATCATTATAGGATAAGATTCACAATACGACTTTCACTTCAAATTCCCTAGTCTCGTTGAAACTGTCTCACGTCAAATATATTGATCTACTAATGAGATCCAAAGAGTCATCTCGAAACCTCAGAGGTACTTTTTATGCCTCGTGTAGAGTAATTTTTACTACCATCTTTTATTCGTGTAAGATAATCTTTGGAATAAAATGTGGTCTTAACCTATGGTTTTACCTCCCTTTTATAACTATATCAAGTGCAAATCTTAGATTTAGAAAGTTCAGCGCATGTTATCATGATCGCTTCGAACCGGAATAAAAACAGGATAAGCGGCATTGAGCACGATCGGGGAAAAAGCATCAATATCAATTATCTTTCAATGCTCTCAACTGTCACAACTTAGACGACATTTTGTCGAGTTTATATGAGTTCTAGGGCAAGAGGGAATTCGGTAAAAGTAAATTACTGACAGCTGCATTGAGCACGATCGGGGAAAAAAAGCGGAACTTCAAGGTATACTATTAAAATATGTAGAATATCCCAGAAAAGATCTTGACACTCTTGTCTCTTATTAAGAATTCTTTAAGACTTCTTTTGGTCATATTTACTGATTACTGTAGGATAGGGCGCATGTCAGATCTTATGGGATATCTACGTAATAGACGCCCCATTCATTAAATTCGTAATATCACGTTTTTTTTCTAAATTGGTAAAATTTTAACGTTTTTTAAACTTTTGATCCATTTATAAAGGTAATTTTGAATGATTCCGTTGGAACTGAAATATCAATACTATCACTATCAATTTACTTAAAATTAAGAAGAATAATTAATATAACTTCATTTAACAAAATTTATTTTTAGAATGATTGGCCAGAAGGTTACAGATTAGCCGCAGCCATACATTTTCGATATCCAGACTGCGTTCGAGTACCTTTAAATTCGATAGTAACACGATGCAGTCAATCTGGTTTAGATCTATTAGAAGATTTGTTGCTCTATGATCCAGATAAAAGGCCAACGGCACAACAGAGTCTTAAATATCCATATTTTAATGCTATGAAACGTATATCACCAGCAGCAGCTACAAAGGCCAATGTCAAGTTAACCGCCAAATATGGCAACAACTCGAATTTGACACACAATTTGTCAAGCAATGTGCTTCCGGTGCAAGAGAAACTACAAACTCTTACCGAAATAATACAACGTAGTAATATGAATAATAATAAAAATAACAACAATAATAATACCAATAATAACAACATTAACAATACCGATATCTCAGCGGCCAATTTAAGTAGTTCAAAAAATGGTCATATTATAGTACAACAAGCCAAAAATGTCAGCCAAATACCGAAAATAAGTTTTCTAACAATGAACTCAAATGATTTGATAAATCCACCGCAACAAAAATTTCAGCAAAAATCCCTAAACGAATCGGGATCAGTGAAAAGTGAAACAATACGTTATAACACAATATTGGCGCCCTCGAGTAATATTTATCTAAGTACCGGAAATCTAAATCAGAGTACTGAAAATTTGTCACGCAATGAATCGATTAATGATATATTTCTGAATCGTAATATATCGCAACTGTTTGGCTTAAGTCAAACTCCCGCCTCAAACGTACAGCCGCAACATCCAAATGTGTCATTTCACAGTAACAATATAATGGGTAATCGGGGCAACAATGCTATCTATGTCAATGGTTCACGCAACTATGCTCTTTACGAAACTGCAGCCAAAAATGCAAAAAATTCGGCCAAAATTGGTGGTTACTATGTCTATACAAGACCATCACAAGATTACGGTATAAATGAATCTAGCAAAGTGTATAATATGTTTTCGAAGGTGGGCATGAAACAAAATAATCCTCCTGCAGAGCTGATCGTACGCAACTCGTATGAACCCACTTTGATGGGAAGTAAGGTGTTTGCCAGTAATGATCGTTTATCAGCACGATCACAGATCGGTCGTTATGACGCCAATCGAAAGGAAAGAGAAAATGATATGTTTTTGGCCGCAGATGAGTCTAACTATGAGAACAATTCCAAACACAATGAGAATGGAGACGAATTGGATACAATATTGGGGTAAGTAGGGAACCTTTAAAAGTAATCTTTTAAAAGATTAAAAACTATTATGTTCACATATTTAATCCATTTTGTAGTACGAAACTAAAAAGCTCGGCGAAGAAGCAAAGAAATTCTAAATCAAATATTCTCTTAGAAGACCTTTTTGGTCATCTATCAATGGACTCAGATGTAAGTGATAACAAGTTTCCAGATCAACTTGTTACGGATCGTACATCTAATATCCCGATAAAAAAGCATTCAAATCCTTTGAGTAGTATCGAAGCTAATAACGGCAGTAGAACAGATTCTTTTACAACAAATGCGTAAGTCTAGTGTTATCTGAAATTTAGTTTGGTTCTTGTTTAATATTTGCTTTATAATAATGTATTCTTAAAACGTCATTCATTGTTATCATTATTGCTTTCTTTTCTTTGATTTAATTATATCATTATTACACCTCATTGATCATTTTATGTGTTTGTGTGATGAAATAGAGACCTTTCACCCAAAGATCACAACAATTTATATTCGAATGATGAAGACGATTGCCAATTTTGGCCCATAAGGTAAAAACTATATAACAAGAAATTCGTTTTTATTTAAACCTTATTTGCTAGAGGATTTAGAAGTTTTGTAGATACACATTTATGACCATAATTTATCATGTAGTACATAGTAATTTTGTAGATTGATTAACAATTAACTTATGTTCAATTAGTTTTAATTTGATTTTTTAATATATTTTATTTCTGCCTCTAATTTTTCCATCTAATTTTCTCTTGTTTCTGCCCATTATTTTCTAGGCCTTACAATAATTACTTATTGTATGTCTTATCTTAATGTCAAAAGAATTATTTTGCTCTCAGTGCAGAATCATATTTTGCTATTAGTCCTTTAATCTCTGTTGACGTTCCCATTTCTACTATGAATTTTGGATTGGACCTAAAAAAGTTAGAAAAAGTTAATTCATTTTACATAGGCAAATCAGAGGTGTACATTGGGTAAAGCATTGGTCCTACAACACTTCTTTGAGGGACACCAGCTTTGATCGCAAACTTTTGGGAAAACTACAGATCGCATTTAATAATACTATGAGCAGAAAAGTTGCCAAATTTAGTAATTTTCTAATAATAGAAGGTGTAATCAAATCAAAACCAGGGGATTTAAGATTTTAATTTTACAATTTTCGGAACATCTTCTAGACTAATATTGATAATTTCAAAGTCTGTTTCTGTGTGAAAAGGTAAATCCTTAATAGAAAGATATTTGAGAGGGATTCGGTTGAAATATATTACTTATATGTTTAGCAAATTCTATGGATTTATTCCTAGGTCTCCATGCCCATACTTAGTTTCGATTTCTGCGATCTTGCATCATTGTATGCACTTTTTGCATTTTTCATGACATCCAACTAGACCAGACGTCGGCACGATCGCATACGAACCTCTAAACAAGAGCATAAAAAAAATATTTTATTTAGTTGCTTGGCAGCATTCAACAAAGCAGGTTGATGTCGCTTTGTTAAAGAAATTGCAAACACAACTTGAAAAAACAAGAACAACTTGCAAAAGCAAGAGCATAATTTACAAAAACAACGTACACCCTAAATAATTTTCTAGAATGCATAACAATTCTAATGTACAATCACTGAGTGCGAACAGTCAAGTAAAGTCAAAGGGACTCCATTTTGATAGCACCACTCCACTGCATGTCTGTCTGGCACCCAGTGTTCAGAAATATCAACCCCTATATATACCTATTTCGGGCTATAAGGTGTCTTGTATGTTTCTCAGTAAAAGAAGGCCACAATAACTACATGTGCCTAAGTTATTCCATCTATTTTCAGCCCTTTGAAATGAGGATACTGATTTTGGTAAAACCTAACGGTGTTGCTACTAAAATGGCATTTAAGATATCCAAAGCAGATCCCGTTCTGTCTAGCTCATCTGTGCCTTTTCATAATAGTTACTATGGGCAGGGACCGACACAAGCGTAATGTTAGACAGGCGACCTAGCCTTTACAAATCCTTCTTGTATTGTCTGACTAATAGGGAAGTGGTAGTGTAAGAGTTTAGTTAAATAATGCTAAGCGGCTGTCGACAATAATTCAATGTTGCCACGAATATTGAAATTATATTGTACCCTACAGGCTGATATCGAAAATTTTAGCCTGAAAAACACACAATTGTTTTAAAGACGGTGAGATATACTTATATTGGGGGCAGTAGGCATGTCTATATGTTTTTGATCTCCAACTTCCGGATAAGTTCTATGATAATTTATAGTCTAAAATAATTCCTTTACATTTCGCATTGTTTGATAAGGAATTTATTAGTCCTTTAAGCAGGGCAAGTTGAAGCTTGGAACAATGGTATTTATTGTGAATAGTACAAGTTCTGTTTTACTTGGATTTACTCTTTGAGTACTGTTATTGAGTAGCACCAGTGTGTTTCAAATAATATCACTAATCACGTCGGGGAACATTCCTGGTACCAGTACCACATCGTCCACGTATCCCTCTATTAATCTGTTCAATAAGAATCGAGTTAATAGCAGTGAGCCAAAGTAGTGGATAGATTGCACCCTTCTGTGGTGCGTTTGGTTCCACTTGCTTGGATTTACCGCTGTTACCAAGACTTTTCGTAATTATTCCAGATTTCAACATTTTGAATATCTAGTATGGCCTTCGGTAAGTTAGTGTTCTAGTCCGTTACACTGGAAACAGTGCAAAACAGGATCGATAATGGGCTAGGTGTATTTCTTTTGTCCTTTGTGGTAGGCATGTTGACTGGTTGGTTGCAGCAATGAGACGTCTAGTCGTTGGCTGAAATGTGAGTCGATCAGTCTTTCCAACGTTTTGAGTGGCATTCTCATGACTTCTTTTGCTAGATTTGGGAATAAAAACAACCTTAACCTTTCTCCAATTGACCGAAACATTACTGAGAGATAAAGCAATCCACACAAGCGTTTATTAACAGATGTCTTCGGAGAATGTTGCGAGTTTTTTGATAGATTATATTTGTAGTACTTAGTTTGCATCCTTAGCCTGTGGTTCATTATAGATACATTACAATTATATTTTAAAAGTAGATGTAATTTAAATTACATGTAAATCATAGCGACCCAAGACTGCGATCAATGTCCTCAAAATCCTGTTATCGCTTAAATTCAAGCCGATCTATGTTGCAGATCCCACAGAAGTTATTTGAAATATTATTGAATATGTTTTATTAAAAAGTAGAAGCTAATTCAATTCTTATATCTAACTGATAAATTACAATTACACACAATTAGTTTCACCTAAGGATTACACAACATTTCTGACACGCACTGCATTTCATAATTCATTGACATCACTTTATTTTATTAATTTTCAGTGTTTTATTAAACAATTATAAATTAATACATTAAAATTCAAGATGTAAACCTTTTTATTTTGGCTGGTTTAGTTTCGTATTATTTTTAGTAAAACAATTTTCTTAAATTTGAAAATTTCTTTTTAGAGCCAAATTTCAGGGAAACCAAAACACGCAATTCCCTTGGGATGAAACGAATAAAACAGAGGATGAAAAACTAACAGCCTGGATGGTATCCGACAATGGTAAATTAAAATATGCAAACAACATTTAGAGAATGTAGGAAAAATCATCACAAAATCGGTCAACTAAACTAATTCTGCTCAAAACTCACAAAACTAAGAAACAATTAAAAAGTTTTTAAAAATAACATTTTGCAAATAGTCGACACTTGTACATATGAAAAGAAACTAAAATTACTAGTTAAACCGTAGATCTAGTAGTTACTGCAACAAGTAGTTACGAGTAATTAACTTTAAAACGCGTTAAATACGACACAAACAAAATTTTGTTTATTATTTCAATCTCATTTAGGCTTAGGATCCCTTTTAGAAAATTATACAACCAAGGGAATGCACAGTTGTCATAACCAACAACTACAACGGCCGCCATATCATCAAAAATATAACAGCAATTCGTTAAGGACTTCTTCATCCTTGTACCTGAATAATTAAAAATAGTAAATAGTAATTTTTAAACTATAAAATTTAAAAATTATAACTGAATTTGGAATAATATTTTAAAACCTGGGATGATTGATATAAAAAAATAATGTGTTGTGTAAACATTTTTAATTTATTTACTTTAATTAAGTTTAACTAAAATGTTTATCAGATTATCACAAACTATCATCAAGACAATCATGTCTAAACTCCTTCAATATTTTTAAATAACTTCTAAAAAACAACAGGTAATCCCTAATAAATTTAAAAGTTATGACTTCTATTTCGCTTCTCATTTTGACTCCTCGAACACGTTGTAAGAGCTTATCATCCTCTACATAGATATGAACTATGTTGGTATTAAGCATCACATACCTTGCAGCATATGCCCTCTTCATTAAAAATGGCTACTTCGATTAGTCTGACCGACTAAGTAGTGATAGTATTCTATATGAAAGGCGTCCACTAAGTAAATATCTTTCATTACCAAACTCTTTTGGATCTGTTCCCAAAGGTTAGAAGCGTATGCGTCTGACTAAAGCAGAGGAATAACTCGCAAAACTAACACTTTTTTGTGGAAAAGGGAATTCGATACAATGAATAGACAAAATTCGAAAAACTTCAGGTGGGTTTCGGAGCCCTATGACTCTGATAAGAAAGAATTAGAAGCAGGAAATAGACAAATTAAAAAAGTCTGGTAGGCTAAAAGCGCCCTCTTTGTATATTAAAAGTTAAAGGGTCGGTGCGTCAAAGAACGAATTGGTACTTTTTTATACCAAGAATTAAGACCTCGGTTAAATGGTACAAGTTTTCAATTAAAGTTCCTTAGCGTAATTTTGAACTCCAAGATCTAGCGGTAACATAATTTTGAAAGTCAAATAAGTAAGCTGTTCTAAGTCTTCTATTTTTGCAAGAAAATTTTCAGAAAGAGAATAATTAATAAACCTAACATTATTTACTATATACTCAAGTTGGATCGCCCAATTTAGCAAATTAGTATCACAATGGGCCGAATCAAGCATTCAGTACTATTGTACTTTTTGTCATCGAAAAATACCGTAGTACTCCTAGCACCGATTATTCGATAGAATATTCTATACTAGTCAAATCCATAGACTAGTCAACCAACAATTCCACGGACAAGTAAAGAAAGTAATCAATAGACTAGTCCACAGTTTAGTCAATGTTCTTGTCCACATACTAGTCCATAAACTAGACAAAAGACTAGTTCAAAGACTACTCTAAAGACTTTGAAATATCTTAATGTTTTAATATTAAAAAGTACTATTTTTGGAACAATTGAGTACCTTTTCAAAATTTAAATTTTCCATAGCCTTCGAGTGTTGAGATCATGTAACCAAACTTAACCGGGTTTGTATATCATTTGGAAAACTGGTGATCATATAATATGTATTTCTTTGAATATCTCACATCTAATGAAATTTTGAAAATGGAGCTTATGATATCTTGATAGTTAGTGAGAATGTGATGAATAAAGAGTAAAAAAAATAAACTCTTAATTTTAAGTGAATTAAGTGTTTCTGTGATAAAAACAAAACTAAATAAACAAAAACTAAGTTAAAAAGAAAAATTTAAAATTAAAAGGAAAATAAAAATTGAAAACTAAATTTATTGTATGTATGATTGTAGTAAAATTACTATGTATTTATTTATTGTATTGTAATGTAATGTAAGAGTATTTTAAAGAGATAGAAAGTAAGAGAGCAAGAGATAAAATAAAAACAAAACAAATTGTAAATAAAATATTATTGTTAATGTTCGAAAATTACAAATCTGTTATTTTTGTCTTGTGATGATGTTTGTTTGTTGTTGTTGTTTTGCTTTAATTTTTTTTCCTAGAAATTTTTTTGAATTTCTTTTTAACGGCGATGTGTAGGTGCAGGCCATTCTTCGACTACTGGTGCTACAACAGCATGTCCTGTCAACAAAGTGGGTGACTCACGACGCACCTGTGCTGAGAAACCCAATAGGGGATCAGAGCTATAATCAACAATACGACGATGACCATCGGGTTCCACAAGAGAATAACGTCCTGTTACGTATTCACCACGACGATGTTCAAATTGATCTTTTATATCTCCGGTATGGCTGTCATGTACAGCATATTGAAATTCATAATGTGGTGGACTGGACTCCTCCACTTCGATTGTTGCGGGATGTCCAATGATACTGGCATTGGCCAAAACACACACTACAGCCAAGACAAATGAGAAGCACTGTAACGAATAGTATTCCAAAGTTAACTATAATTCCCAGCGTAATGATGATGCGTACAAATAATCCAAATACTTACAATAAGTTTCATAATTGAAATGTTTCGGAGTTGGTAAGGTATGATAACTATTTGAATAGAAGATGTCTAATGGTAAACATTTGTCAAGCAAGTTCTTTTTATACCCCCATTAACATCATCATCATCTGCTGCTGCCGCCCAAACTCTTGTTGATGACGATCAAATGTTATACTTTTGATTGTCTTGCAATGAGATCTCAAATGTTTGGCTACAAGTCTAGTGAATAATGTGTATAGTGATACCCCTAACATGTGTAAGACTACAGACGTATGATTTTCATATTTGTTGCAACAAATATACCAAAAACATAAAAATGAAGAAATTATGCAATATTTGTGTGTTGCAAATACATACAATCAACAACCATTTTAACTGACTTCAAAGAGGAAATGATATCCAATATCAAATATTCGATCGTACATACATACACACTTATTTGCATCTTCACATTGCAAAAATCGGTGAGTCAGTTAGCTTGTCACTCAGCATTCCATACATCAGTCAGTCATTCAGTCACTTTATCTGTGACACAGTCAGGTTTTTTATGTATTCAGACTACAAATTGTTGAAAAACGTTAAATAGATTTAACCATAATTTGTTTGTATGTGTGTTTGTGTTTTATAGTCGGCCCTTCAAACTTCACACTCATACATTTCCAACAATTACCGCTATTTACAAACATTTACCTCAGTAGTCTAGTGACTCAATTTAGTTCGCCGAAAAGATCTCAAATTTCCCCATTTGAGTTTTTATTTCCAGTTCCGTTGATGTTTATATGTATTTGTTCACTGGATAAAATTAAAGAAATTTTCAAAAATATTTTTATAGGAATTCAACTTAAACGATCCGTATTAATAACGAGAACCATTGTTGGCGCCATACTTATTCTAATCTAATTCCAATATTGCTGTGACTTCTGTCCAGAAGATAGTGTTGTGATTAGGAAGACGGTAGTATATTTCTACATATATCTGGATCTTAAATATAGAACACCACAGCCGCTTTATCTCACAATTTAGAACCATCCGTGTAGCAATGGATTCCTATGGGTATTTGATCTAATAGTCCGCTAGACCATGACATTCTATCTGGAATCAATTCTTCAAAGTTTCCGATATATTCCCGATTGTGTATAGCCTTCCGTGTCCAATATGGGGCCTCATATCTTATATATGTTTCAATGGGTAGAATATCTAGTACCGTTTCCAGAGCTATATCCAGCTTACTGCCGTTGTCATCGATCGTAGATTCCGGTAAAGTAAACAGAGAGAAGGTATATGCTTCCACGCCCTTGCTTCAACACCGCTGCATCTGATGTTGACAACCCTGCTGAGAGGAGAAAGCATAAGTTATTGTGCGAGACCATGTATCAGCATAGAAAAATTGGAAATTTACTTATGTAATTTAATCCAGCAACCTTGTTTCGAATCGTTCAAGGTTTCTGGATCAATGTATCATACCCATGTTTTGTTTAGCTAAGTATTAAGCGTGGTCTTCCAGCGAGTTGGTGCTCACCTCTTCGCTCTTTGCATTTGACTCCTACAGGTAGCCTGAAGTGGCTATTAATACAGTGTATACTATTGTTGGTAATGTGCTGCCCTTATCAGGCCCATGGTAGCAGTCTTTTTAATTGACACCTTATAGTCTAGTATATAGTCTAGTCTATAGTCTAGTCTATAGTCTAGTCTATAGTTTAGTCTATAGTCTAGTCTATAGTCTAGTTTATAGTCTAGTCTATAGTCTAGTCTATAGTCTAGTCTATAGTCTAGTCTATAGTCTAGTCTATAATCTAGTCTAGTCTAGTCTATAGTCTAGTCTATAGTCTAGTCTATAGTCTAGTCTATAGTCTAGTCTATAGTCTAGTCTATAGTCTAGTCTAGTCTAGTCTATAGTCTAGTCTATAGTCTAGTCTATAGTCTAGTCTATAGTCTAGTTTATAGTCTAGTCTATAGTCTAGTCTATAGTCTTTTTTTTTTTTTTTTTTTTTTTTTATAGTGGAGGTGGAAACCTTCTATAGGTCCCATTGGGTATGTCGGATTCCTACCGACTAAAACCACCTCCATCGTCAACACCACACTCCGCGGAACTGCCAGTAGGTATTACTTCGCGGGGCGGCCAGCTTGTTTCGCTGATCTACTTATTTCTACTGGCGTTGTGACAGTACCGCTCTTACTTGCTTCCGAAGCTGTTCTTCTTTTCTTAGGGATTCGTTTACATAAGTAATAAAGGAATTTATACGGTCCCAATGCAGCTCAGATGTCAGCATGATATCCACAGTGTTATCTGGAGTTAATCTGTGCCCTAGCTGGGTTTCTAACCTAGTACGTTCTACTTCAAATCTGTGGCATACAAATATGACATGTTCGGTGTTTTCATCAACACCTGGGCATACTGGACACACCGGTGAGTCATCGTGACCAAAACGGTGCAGGTAGCTTCTATAGCCTCCATGTCCACTTAAAAACTGAGTTAAATTGTAGTTAACTTCTCCATGCCTGCGGTTTACCCATTTCTCTATTTTTGGAATCAATTTGTAAGTCCAGCGTCCTGCAGAACAGTTCTCCCACCGTCTTTGCCATTTTTCCATTGAGGATCTTCTTTCGTCATTTCGAATGTTTCTGTGCTGCGCCTCTGTATTTTGTCTTTTAGTTTCGTATATTTTTGAAAATTCATGTGCGGTAATGTCTAAGGGGACTATGCCCGCGATAACACAGGATGCCTCGAGAGATATAGTGCGGTATCCGCTGCAAATACGTAGGTATCCTCTGCGGAAGATAGACATCATGTCCTTTCTGGAAGTACATCTCGGGAAGCCCTCCCAGATGGGTGAACCATAAAGCAGTATAGAGTTTGCCACTCTCGAGAGAAGAATTCTTCGACTTTGCCTCGGACCTCCTATGTTTGGCATCAATCTCGCCAGTGCATTCACGACGTTGGTAGCCTTAAGGCATGAATATTCGATATGCCTTTTAAAGTTTAGACGATTATCGATTATCACGCCCAGGTATTTTATTGCTTCCGTGGACACGATTTCACTTCTTCCAACTTGGACCGTTAACACTTCTTTCGCTCTCCTACTGCTTACTAGCACAGCTTCTGTTTTGTGTTCTGCTAGTTTCAGGTTTGATTTTTCCAGCCAAATCTTAATGGATCTAATTGCTTCGTTTGCATAAAGCTGCACTTCTTCCAGATTTCGAGCTTGGACTACTATTGCGACATCGTCTGCAAAGCCTACAATTTTTACCTCTTCCGGAACACTGAGCCTGAAAAGGTCATCGTACATGATGTTCCATAGTAGTGGGCCTAGGACCGATCCTTGCGGAACGCCAGCAGAAATGTTTTGGGACTCAATACCATTGTCTGTCTCGTACCACAGGGTTCTGTCTGAAAAGTAGTCTTTAACTATTTTTATGAGATACTCCGGAATATTTAGTTTGCGCAGTGCGGTTATTATATTACACCATTCAGCCGAGTTAAAGGCATTCTTAATGTCCAATGTTATTATCGCGCAGTATTTTCTTGCACTTCTTTTGCCTCTGATGGCCTTTTCTGCAATGTTGACAACAAAATTTATTGCGTCCACTGTGGACCTCTCTTTTCGGAAGCCGTATTGCATCTTTGATAAGCCGATTGATTCCTCTACAGCGTTCAGTATTCTGGTATATATCAACCTCTCCAAGCACTTGCCTAATGTATCCAGAAGGCAAATCGGTCTATAAGACTGAGGTTCGCCTAAAGTTTTCCTGGGTTTGGGTATCAGGATGAGCTTTTGCTTCTTCCATCGCGATGGAAACACACCATCTCTCAGGCATTTATCAAATAATGAGACAAACAGCTGTGGCGTGGTTTTCAATGCAATCTTCAGTGCTTTGTTTGGAATATTATCCAGTCCTGGTGCTTTTTTGTCACCGACTTTGCAGCACAATTTTAGGATCTCGTCCTCAGTTACTGGCAATGGTTCTGACATATTACTGCATGGTAACATGTCTACAAATGGTTCTCCCTGCGGAAAAGCGTAGCGACTATTTTTTTTTATTAATGTGGGGCACGTTACTTGGGCTGATTTTTTCCCCTTCAATCGGGACATAACTATGCGATATGCATTGCCCCAGGGATTGGAGTCTATAGTCTAGTCTAGTCTAGTCTAGTCTATAGTCTAGTCTATAGTCTAGTCTATAGTCTAGTCTATAGTCTAGTCTATAGTCTAGTCTAGTCTAGTCTATAGTCTAGTCTATAGTCTAGTCTATAGTCTAGTCTATAGTCTAGTCTATAGTCTAGTCTATAGTCTAGTCTATAGTCTAGTCTATAGTCTAGTCTATAGTCTAGTCTATAGTCTAGTCTATAGTCTAGTCTATAGTCTAGTCTATAGTCTAGTCTATAGTCTAGTCTATAGTCTAGTCTATAGTCTAGTCTATAGTCTAGTCTATAGTCTAGTCTATAGTCTAGTCTATAGTCTAGTCTATAGTCTAGTCTATAGTCTAGTCTATAGTCTAGTCTATAGTCTAGTCTATAGTCTAGTCTATAGTCTAGTCTATAGTCTAGTCTATAGTCTAGTCTATAGTCTAGTCTATAGTCTAGTCTATAGTCTAGTCTATAGTCTAGTCTATAGTCTAGTCTATAGTCTAGTCTATAGTCTAGTCTATAGTCTAGTCTATAGTCTAGTCTATAGTCTAGTCTATAGTAGTCTATAGTCTAGTCTATAGTCTAGTCTATAGTCTAGTCTATAGTCTAGTCTATAGTCTAGTCTATAGTCTAGTCTATAGTCTAGTCTATTGTCTAGTCTATAGTCTAGTCTATAGTCTAGTCTATAGTCTAGTCTATAGTCTAGTCTATAGTCTAGTCTATAGTCTAGTCTATAGTCTAGTCTATAGTCTAGTCTATAGTCTAGTCTATAGTCTAGTCTATAGTCTAGTCTATAGTCTAGTCTATAGTCTAGTCTATAGTCTAGTCTATAGTCTAGTCTATAGTCTAGTCTATAGTCTATTCTATAGTCTAGTCTATAGTCTAGTCTATAGTCTAGTCTATAGTCTAGTCTATAGTCTAGTCTATAGTCTAGTCTATA